TTCTCCTGTGTTCTCCTGCATTCTCCTGTGTTCTCCTGCTTTCTCCTGGTTTCTCCTGCTTTCTCCTGGTTTCTCCTGTATTCTCCTGCTTTTTCCTGTGTTCTCCTGCTTTCTCCTGTATTCTCCTGTATTCTCCTGCTTTCTCCTGTGTTCTCCTGCTTTCTCCTGGTTTCTCCTGTGTTCTCCTGCTTTCTCCTGTATTCTCCTGTGTTCTCCTGCTTTCTCCCGTATTCTCTTGCTTTCTCCTGCTTTCTCCTGTATTCTCCTGGTTTCTCCTGTGTTCTCCTACTTTCTCCTGTATTCTCCTGCTTTCTCCTGCCTCCTCCTGCTTTCTCCTGTATTCTCCTGGTTTCTCCAGTGTTCTCCTACTTTCTCCTGTATTCTCCTACTTTCTCCTGTGTTCTCCTGCTTTCTCCTGTGTTCTCCTGTATTCTCCTGCCTTCTCCTGTGTTCTCCTGCTTTCTTCTGGTTTCTCCTGCTTTCTCCTGTGTTCTCCTGCTTTCTCCTTTGTTCTCCTACTTTCTCCTGCTTTCTCCTGTATTCTCCTGCTTTCTCCTGTGTTCTCCTGCTTTCTCCTACTTTCTCCTGTGTTCTCCTGTGTTCTCCTACTTTCTCCTGTGTTCTCTTGCATTCTCCTGCTTTCTCGTTTTTTTTACTTTATTCTGTTAAGTGTTACGTATTTGCAAGGTATTTGCATGTATAAGCACCTTATTTACATACTCGGGACAAAATAAATGGTCCCTTTACCCAGTTTCTTCCCGGCACTGTTTTCTACCCCGGAAACTGTACGAAACGTTCGGCTCTATATGGGGGTTACGTATCATCGAATCATCTGCTTTGTGGTCGAGGTCAATTATATCTCTTCTGGGTCAGTCGTTTTCGACCTCAAAGATGTCAGCTCTCAAAATATGTTGTTTCTAACTCTACTCTAAATGATTTTTGGAAGCTATTTTTGAGAAGCTGTTTATGGATTATTCTTGAAAGATAGGTGTGGTCACCTATTATACTAATTTATAGGCAAGTCTTCTGGTCAGCGCCCAGAAAGTTTCAAGTTGACGGACCATTGAAGAGACGGATTCGATCCGGAGAGATGGTGTTTCCAGAAGAAAAAAAAGGTCAGACATAACGTTATACAACAGGCATACTAAGGTGAGTTCGAAAGCTTGAGGAAAAGTTCAACATCATTCTTGAATTACGATGCCACCATGGTAACAGATCATAGCAAAAGAACTACAGATAAATCATGTACATGTGATGACATTATAACATATAACTGTCAATTATATTCACAGATTTAGGCTATGTATGTAAGTCTAAATGAAAGCATAACAATAGGTATGTTTTGTGTGGTTTCCTTAATATATTTCATCTGCATTACTTACATAATTTAGTACAATATTCTTCAATCATTGACTCTTTGGAAAGGTAACTGTAAACACGTGCCTTCAAAACTTAACATTAACAGTTAGGTGTATAAAGTTTGTTGGGAAGACCAAGGTCAAAGTTGATTTTGGCAATACGCGGTCGGGCTGGTACCACGGGAAATACGGAATACACCGTGGCGTGTAGTATTCTATATTTACCACGCATCGCACATCGATTGACGTAGGACAGACATAACTTTGCCCCGTGTAGATAATCTGTTACTTTGTTTAAAAAATATTGGATGGATCTCAGCAAATGATGCATTACTTGTGGGCAGATGTAGAGAAAACAGATTTAGATATAACTGATGGTTGAAATTTTTCAGTGTTGTGTGCAGGACTAAGAAGAGGTGACAAGGGGCTGGGGGATGAGGGAAGGGGGTGGTCCACATATCCTCAGGAAGTCAGCTGTCCAGGTGCTCCAGGAGCTGTGTACAGAAAATCAGGGTTCTAACATATTGGAAGATTTTTCAACATTTTCTAGAAATGGTGAAAATATGTTGGAACAGTTTAGAAATTATTACAAATCATATATTCCATGTTACAAATGTTTCTAACATGTTAGAACAAAATATTTAGAATGTCAAAATAAGGTTGGAACTTGTTCTAAATATTGCCCTATCTCAGCCAGACAGTTACTATTAAAGGTTTCGAAAATGTTCCAACAATCATTATTTTAAAACCATCCCGGTGTCGTGAAATTGACTCAAAAATCTGTGTGCTTCCCTTGCAAATAGCAATGTTAAATAAAGTTATGGTTGTGCATCTGTTACCTCTGTTGTGGTTAACTTTGTAGCAATGCCACAGTGATGTAGTAGTTAAAACACTGGTCAGCTAAAATCTGTGTGTTTCCCCCTTGCAAATTAAAAGTGTTAAATAAAGTTATGGTTGTGCATGCCATCTGTTACCTCTGCTATGAATAAAGCTGTTTTTGTGTAAAAATCTTTGTTTTTGCTTTTTTTGTATATCAATTATATATTGACTGTGCACTGATTACTTGCACAAGAAAGTTAAAGCTTAGGCCATAGCAATTTTGTTCTAATTACCTTCGCCAGAAGGTTATGTTTTTGGTAGCGTTTGTGTGTATGTATGTATGTATGTATCTATGTATCTATGTATGAATGTTTGTATGTGGTTTGGCACGATGGCTCAAGAAGCTTTGGATGGATTGTCATGAAACTTCAATAAATATCAATTTATTGATACCCCCTCAAGATATATTAACTTTCAGGTATATCAATTTACTGATACCCCCTTATGATACTTCAACTTTCAGGTAAAGATACTTCAACGTTCAGGTATATCAATTTAGTGATACCCCGTGAAGATACTTCAACTTTCAGGTATATCAATTTATTGATACCCCCTCAAGATACTTTAACGTTCAGGTATATCAATTTATTGATACCCCCTTAAGAAACTTCAACTTTCAGGTGTATCAATTTATTGATACCCCCTTATGATACTTCAACTTTCAGGTATATCAATTTATTGATACCCCCTTATGATACTTCAACTTTCAGGTAAAGACACTTCAACGTTCAGGTCTATCAATTTATTGATACCCCGTGAAGATACTTCAACTTTCAGGTATATCAATTTATTGATGCCCCCTTAAGAAACTTCAACTTTCAGGTGTATCAATTTATTGATACCCCCTTAAGATACTTCAACTTTCAGGTATATCAATTTATTGATACCCCCTTATGATACTTCAACTTTCAGGTAAAGATACTTCAGCGTTCAGGTATATCAATTTATTGATACCCGTGAAGNGTATATCAATTATATATTGACTGTGCACTGATTACTTGCACAGAAAGTTAAAGCTTAGGCCATAGCAATTTTGTTCTAATTACCTTTGCCAGAAGGTTATGTTTTTGGTAGCGTTTGTGTGTATGTATGTATGTATGTATCTATGTATCTATGTATGAATGTTTGTATGTGGTTTGGCACGATGGCTCAAGAAGCTTTGGATGGATTGTCATGAAACTTCAATAAATATCAATTTATTGATACCCCCTCAAGATATATTAACTTTCAGGTATATCAATTTACTGATACCCCCTTATGATACTTCAACTTTCAGGTAAAGATACTTCAACGTTCAGGTATATCAATTTAGTGATACCCCGTGAAGATACTTCAACTTTCAGGTATATCAATTTATTGATACCCCCTCAAGATACTTTAACGTTCAGGTATATCAATTTATTGATACCCCCTTAAGAAACTTCAACTTTTCAGGTGTATCAATTTATTGTATACCCCCTTATGATACTTCAACTTTCAGGTATATCAATTTATTGATACCCCCTTATGATACTTCAACTTTCAGGTAAAGACACTTCAACGTTCAGGTCTATCAATTTATTGATACCCCGTGAAGATACTTCAACTTTCAGGTATATCAATTTATTGATGCCCCCTTAAGAAACTTCAACTTTCAGGTGTATCAATTTATTGATACCCCCTTAAGATACTTCAACTTTCAGGTATATCAATTTATTGATACCCCCTTATGATACTTCAACTTTCAGGTAAAGATACTTCAACGTTCAGGTATATCAATTTATTGATACCCCGTGAAGATACTTCAACTTTTCAGGTATATCAATTTATTGATACCTCCTCAAGATACTTGAACGTTCAGGTATATCAATGTATTGATACCCCCTTAAGAAACTTCAACTTTCAGGTGTATCAATTTATTGATATACCCTTAAGATGCTTCAACTTTCAGGTATATCAATGTACTGATACCCTCTCAAGATACTTGAACGTTCAGGTATATCAATTTACTGATACCCCTTTAAGATACTTCAATTTTCAGGTATATCAATTTGTTGATACCTCCTCAAGATATTCAATCTTTCAGGTATATCAATTTATTGATACCTCCTCAAGATATTTCAACTTTAGGGAATATCTATTTATTTTATGGTGGGCAACCAGTGACTTCCAGGAAAGAATGGATGGCGACCGGGGAAGATCGGTGACGCTGGAGAGACAGCTGACCACCAGGAAAGTCTGGCCGGTGTGCATAGGGTTAGTACCCCTCATGCACAGTTCTCGCAAGAAGAGCGAGAACGACCACCTTTACTGCAGTACGACTTACAGAGCAATACCCCCAGAGTCACCCGAGAGGGGGGGAGGATGAGGGACTCGTCGGAACGGATGAAACGTTGACAACCCGGAAAGGAATACGGACAACGAGACGGATGATGCAAACAACGTTAACAGGGGAGGTTACCGTGTCGGTGGCCACATGCCACTGTGGAAAGATTTGCAAGAACAGTAAAGGGCTAAAGATCCATCAAGCTAAAACCAAATGTGGGCAAGGGGTGCTGCAGATTCAGCGCACAGGGGTAGAACCTGGTGAGACGCATGAGGACTCTAGGCAGGAGGCACCCCATAGTACTGGAGACCCCCAAGCACCTGAGTCACCCCAAGCCCACAGGAGGCACTCACCGCAGAGACTGACAGCAACTGAAAGCCAGCAGCAAGTTAGCAGAGCAAGTTAGCAGAGCAGAGAGACAAGCCCATCCAGTTAAAGACAGGATAAAGTGGCCTAAGATGAGCGATACGAAAGCATGGGAGCATCTAGATGCGGACCTCAACCAAGTATTAGAAGCATCTCTAGCTGGAGCCGTAGAGCGTAAAGTCGAGTCCCTAACCGCAATAACGTACAACCTAGCTAGGGAGCGGTTTGGGGTGGAGGAAAAGAAGAAGAAGAGTCAGCAAACTACCAAGCAGCCCAACAGATCTAGAAGGGAAAGAGAAATTCGGCAGTTAAGGAGAGAAATCAAGGCACTAAACAAGAAGTACAAGAGAGGGCCGGCCAGCGAAAAGGAAGGTATCAAGCAGTTAACGTGCCAACTGAGAGAGCGGTTATGTAGATTGAGAAGGGCTGAGAATGTTAGGAAGCAGAGAAAGCAGAGAGCAAACAAGAGAGCCCAGTTCGTCAGAGATCCTTTCCGGTTCACAAAGTCATTGTTGGGAGAAGCGAAGTCAGGTAGACTAGCCAGCGGCAGAGAAGAAGTAGAAGAGTTTCTGAGAGAGGCACACAATGATGAGTTGAGGCACGAAGCTCTAGAGGAAAATTCGAGAATCAAGCCGGTGCCAGTACCAACCAAACCTCTGGATACAAGTGAACCAACGTGGAAGGAAGTTCAAGATGTCTTTAGGAAAGCTAGCTAGAGCAGGGTCAGCTCCTGGCCCTTGCGGGATCCCTTACAAGGTCTACAAGAAGTGCCCTTTGCTCCTGCGCAGATTGTGGAGGCTTCTACGACGAATATGGGGGAAGGGAGTCATTCCAACAAGCTGGAAGAGAGCAGAGGGGTGCTTCATCCCGAAGGAAGTAGACTCCTCCGTCATCAACCAGTTCAGAACAATTTCGCTCCTGTGCGTCGAATGCAAGATTTACTTTTCTGTTCTGGCTAGAAGACTTGTGACCTACATAACTGAGAACCAGTACATAGACACGTCTGTGCAGAAGGGAGGAATCCCGGGTTTCTCCGGTTGTCTGGAACATACGGGTGTGCTAACCCAGGTGATAAGAGAAGCCAAAGCAAACAAGTCGGACTTGACGGTGGTATGGCTGGACCTGGCTAATGCGTATGGTTCTATCCCTCACGGCCTTATCCAGGTGGCGCTGGACCACTACCATGTCCCAGCAAGCGTCAAGGGCATGGTCACCAGCTACTTTGGAGGGTTCCAGCTTCGCTTTAGAACAGCTGACTTCACAACACAGTGGCAGAACCTGGAGAAGGGGATTGTGACAGGATGTACTATCTCGCCAATTCTCTTCATCATGGGAATGAATCTACTGATAGATGCGGCAGCTACTAAAGCAAAGGGCCCCAGGATGAACTCTGGTTCAAGGCAGCCACCAATAAGGGGGTTCATGGATGACATCACTCTTACTACTGTCACCCATGTAGAGGCAAGATGGATGTTAGCAGAGCTAGACTATATGGCAACATGGGCAAGAATGAGGTTTAAGCCGATCTCTGCTACCCTGGACAACGGTAATTCATACACCGTGAGCAACCATATCAGTCTCGGCAGCAACCCGTGCTGATACAACCAAGCCTTGAACTTCCCCGGAAGACCCGATTTCTCAATGCTTCTCAACCACTCCTCGGTCTGCTGCACGGTGCTATCAACGTTGTGTCTGTCTGTTAGTGAATCGTCATTAACCACCTCCCTAAGCACTTGATCGGGTTTCCCACTATGGATGGAATGGGTTCTCCTTGTACTTTTAACTTGAACCTGCTGGTTACCTTCCCCTTCTTGATTATCATACACCTTGACTTCCTCGGCTTAAACTTTCAGGTT